AGGCTGGACTCATTGTTGAATGTAGATGTCCAGCTTCTTTGCCTCCTTATCTAGGATCATCTACCCAGTCTTTCTTTCACAGAAAAGGTACATTCTTTTTTTTTTTTATTTGGTACTGGGGATTGAACTCGGGTCCTTGCGCTTGCAAGGCAGGCCACCGAACCACTGAGCTAAATCCCTGGCCCAAGGGTAAATTCTTGACTTTAAGAGATTTCATGAAAGTTGAAAGAGAAATGTTATTTTATTTTAACAAGCAACAACAAAAGTCACCTAAGAAGTCCCAAGGTTGAATTCTGAGAATATTAAAATTATTTTTTAAGGTTATAAAAAATTATTATAAAAATAAAAAACAAAGAAATGAACCAAGTAAACATGAGTCCTCCCTCCAATTCCACTTTCACTTGAGTGAACATTGTTAAAGATTTTTGTATATTGTTTCAGATATTTTTCTGTGCTCTACAATTGTATGTACTTAAAAAAATTAGGATCATGCTGTACATGATGCTCTATAACTTTCTCTTTTTAAAAAGCTCAAGTGTATCACTGCTATTTTTTGCTCTCCGTTTATGCAGGAATGTGTGAGTGGACATTTGGCATCCCCACTGGGGAACAGCATCTGCCATCTTGCTTTTGGTGGTAGCTTTGATTTACTGATAAAGTTGGAAGTGGTTTTGTGTACTGAAGTGCATTCCTTGTTGGTATGGTAGCTATCTGTTCAAGCACATAAGGAAAATTTGGGATGCAAACTCTTTCTTTGGATTCTTGGCCCTTTCTGCACTTCTCTTTCATGGTGCTTATAGATCTCTCTTTCTCAGTATATGGCTTTTCTTGGAAAACTTCATGATGGTTACTGTAGTCTGTGAAAGCTTTGGATATTATAGCCTTGGTGCGGATGCATTTCGAAGGTGAAACTGAAGTATGAAAAAATATTTAAAAGAACACTATTATTTTTCGTATTACAGCTAGAGTCTATTTTGACACTACTGGTCACACACACGCACACAGTTTGCAGAGTTTCTGTAATCACGTATCTGGGAATGGTCCCCAGGAGTGCTAATTTCTAGCTGTTTGAACAGTCTTTTATCTGTACCCCAGATTAGAAGTGCAGCTGTTCCTCTCCAGCCTTAGACACAGTTGCCTGATCTCGGAGTGACTTTATGAGGTTTCTTGCAACTGTTTTGTTTAGGAAGTTGGTCTTAAAGATTGGTTAGGCTGGTTTTCCTTTCTTCTTGTCTGGAATTCCTTTGGACCTTCCTGACCTTTAACCTTATTCATTCTTTGCTCACCCTGACCTTGTGGTACCTTTAAACCTAAGAAAGCATGAGGCAGTGATGAACCCAAGTTATTTATGTGTTTGATGGTTGTATTAGTGGGTTTCCCATTTTGCTTCTCTCTGCAGCCTTTAGCCCCGAAAGCTCTTTGGAACAGGGTCTGTTTTCCTGAACTGCCTCCTTGCACTTGTTGGGCAAAATCAGAGCAGTGATTGAGTCCTCAACACCCTTATGGCACTGCAGAGTAATAACATTTATCACACTTCTTGTTTAAGCCCTTTAGAGAATGACATTTCACAGTGTAATTTTGCTTCACAGATTTTTCCCTTGTGAGTTTTAACTTTCAGGGTAGAATTCTCTCTTATGGCTTCACCTTTTTCCTATTTTGTGTATCTGTGAGAAGTCGCACAAATAAGGCATAGCAAATGGAATCAGGTCATGCTCCCAAGTGCCCTTCACCTCAAGATTCCTGATTGTTTCTTCCTTATTTGTCGTGAGCAGGCTCAAATTACCTTACCTCCAGCTGCCCTTTCCACTTTATGAAACAGGCACTAACAACAACACAGCTCTAAAAATTCCCAGATGACCTGCATTTTGCTCTTTTTATTATCCCTTAAGAAATGTCTCAGTAATTGAAATCTAGAGTAGCAGAGTTTTGTGATCCTGTCACTTAGCATTTTACTTATGTTTGGTTTATTTACACTGTATCTTTAAACCCCAAGAGGGGTCAAAGTCTGCCTTATATGACATAAAGAATAGAAACCAAGAATGCCATTGTTAATTCAAAGGTGAGAAGTTAAACAGGGGTCTCAGAACCTACACTTATTTGGTAGTCAGAAGGAGGGGAAGAAGGAGAAGATTCTGGAACATTTTAGTAGGCACCAACAGGGAGAGATGAGACATTTTCACTGAGATTTATGCTGTATGATACATTTTATTTATTTATGGGGGACATGGTATCTGTTTTTTCCCCTCTACAGTAATTTATCAGTAAGTTCATCCTGATTTAGTAGTGCACAGAGGACACCCACTGCTAATTCCCCTTTATTTCATATATTTCTTTTACCTTAACTCATAAAGCTTCAGTGTTGCTACTTCCTTTATCATCTATCTGTATTTCATTGCAAGTCCAACTCTTTTTGATCTATGGCACAAGCCCTCCTTTCCCACCTCTTTGTGCTCTCTTCACAGATTGAATTCCTCAGCATTGACATTTCAGTCATTTGATTTATCCCTACGGGTTCCCTGATGCCAACCAGATCATAATTCCCTTTCTGGTAGCATCACTTCAAGACCTTCCTGGTTATTTCCCTTGGCTCCTACTATTTGTGGATTGGTGCCTAAGAGATTTAGTGGTGATTTGTCTCCTCTTTTCCTTTTCTGTTTGCTTGGATGCAAACCACAGGTGGTAAGTTGGGAGGCCTGAGGATATGCAGAATTGTGTGCCATGTGAGCTTTGTTCTGCTTGATGGGGTGTGCTGGAAGGGTCTGTCTCAAGCATAGTGGCAGAACGGACATCTCTGGACTTGTTTCAAACAAAGGACTTGTCCATACGCCTTCTGTTAGGCTTTGCAAATCAAGAGCCCCCTGCCAAATCCTCTGAGAAATTCTGGATGGAGAGAGCTGGATTATCAGTTTCAAAATCAATTATTTTTAAAAAAGAAATTCTTATGAAAGTTTGGTTAAAAGAGGTACAGTACTTATTTTCTTGTGCCATTTATTTTTTTAAAATCAGTATTATCTGTGTGGTATGACCACATGCACATACATAATCAGATACACACATATAAAGAGAGACACAGAGAGAAAGAGAAAAACAATTTCCCTCTTGGAATTCTCATGTTGTTGGCATTAAAATACTGAATGCTACATTATCACAAGACCTTCAGTTGTCTTGATTTGCATTGGTGACATCCATTTCTCATGCCAGACAAGGGAGAACTGCAAAGACCTTTTTTCCCAGTCCTGTTACCTTTTTAAAAAACAGTCCTTGTGATTTCACACTGAGAGATTCTGTGGTTTATGTATGATATATTAGAGATTGGTTATATGAGGAAGAGTAGCCTTCTTGCTCTATCCTTAAGTTGAATATAAATTTAGATTCTGCTGCTTGATATAATCTATGCCTGTTATTTAATACTACATTTCAGAGCAGGGTATCATCATTCTCCATCTGCTACTCTACTCTGTAAGACTCATGGGACTGGGTTCTCTCAGGGCTGGCTCGCCGGGGCTATGGAATTGGTCCTGGCTCGTCCCTTTGCTGTGGATAAAAGGTTTCTTGACTATAAGGAACGCCCACCAAGAAGCCATCTCTCAGCCTTCTCTGTTGCCGAAAAGCTGTGATGAGGAGGACACTGAGGTGTCTCTGACACTTGCCCCTCATCTGTAGAATAAAAAGATTCAGTGAGTCTCCTTGTCCTAAAGTCAAATTTATAACAGGCCTCTGCTGCAGCTGGAGGGACTTGGGTAGTTATGAGGAAGAGTTTCATGATTCTGAAGATGTGAAAATGCTTCAGCAGTTGTAAAACCACATTCTGAATGGCTCTTTAAAATTTTTTTATTCAGATACTTGAAGGCAGAGATGAGAACCTTTTGGCTTCTCAGAGCCAATTCAGTTCCCTAGCAAGTAAGATTACAATAGGTAACACAGGTTTGCATTTTTTGGATAATGAAACTTGGATTTCTGCCCAGTATCAATGTTCTACTGATTAAAATGTCCCTGAAACCCTGTGAAATGAGGCCAACTGTGGAGGTAGGATGACTAAGAAAATAATAGTAGAGCAGTGACCCAGTGACCAAAAGTGTCAGGAGGGAAAAGCATGTGAAGAAACCTAATGAAGAATATTTGTGTAACATCAGAGACAGTAAAAAGTCAAATTTATTTACGTTTTTTAAAATCTATTTTTGAAAAAGAACAAAAAGACAAAAACGATAAAGAAGCAGTACTATCAAAACCCCATTTTCAGCCCGGCATGATGGTAAATGTCTGGAATCCTAGAATTCTGGAAGACTAAGTTAGGAGGCTCACAAAGTTTGAGCCCAGCCTTGGAAACTTAGTGACTTAGAGAAAAAGGGGGAACGGAGATATAACACATTACAAAGGCCCTGGGTTAATTCCCCTGGACCACAAAAAAAACAAATCTCATCTTCCAAAGAATCACCATGATGTCTCTTTCAGGGCACAGGAGTAAAATAGTATTATCATTACTTTTCAAGATTATCAGTAGATGAAGTCACTAGGGAAATAAGACCTGGACATCCCACAGGTCTGTTGACAGTAATGTACATTGTCTACTGGAATTATCAACATGTAGAGTACAGTAGAAGAAACAAATTCACCACTGATCTCCCTCATTTAGAATAATTTTTATAGATTCATCCAGTCCTTACCAATTGCATTTTTGAGTATTGTAAAGAATAAATTATCCTATTATAATAGTATGTACTCTTTTAAATTAGGAATATGCTGCAGGCATTAACTAAAATGCATAGGCTGATAGCTTTTTAGCAAGAATGGGAGACAAGATTTAAAATAAAATAGGCTCCCAATTGTTGAGCTATGGCTTCTCTTCCAAACAGCTTCTCACAGATTTTTTTTTAAAGCAGAGAGAGAAGTACTGATTTACCATTAATATAAGGGCATAATTTATCTGCACTGATTAAAGTGATCAGTTATTTGGTGACAGCTCTTTATATTCAGGTAAATGCTTCCTTTGTGTTTTTCAGACAAGAATTTCTGACACATCATGGGAAAAGCTGAAGAAGTCAATCTTAGGGGTGTGTTTTTACCCAGGAGGTGGCTTGCAATGGATTAATGGCACATCACAATAAATTATTTATCAGATAATAAGTGTGATAATTGTTCTTATTTATCATCAGTATATCTTGCCTTGTTCTCCTGTCATGCCTTCAATCAAGCCCTCCCCAAAGATTTGCTGGTTAAAATATACAGCCAAAAGGTCATTCCAACAATTTTTACTCATAATGGCACACTGATTATCTCCTAATTGAAAAATGTAAACTAGGGGCTCTGTAAGTAATGTGAGTGACCCTTGCATTTCTAGCACAATGAGGAGAGTTGCTTTGCACTTCATTCATCCTGTCACGGAGAACAATACAATTTTCTGTAATTTTGATGGTCTCCTAAGTTAATTGAAAATAACTTTTTTGTTTTACATGGAGGGAAAAAAACCCATGTGCCCAAATTTGCTGAAAAAAGTAGAGATGTAAAATACTACTCACTATCTACTGTCCTGCTGGCAGCTAATCCATTGCAGCTTAATTGTAATTATCCACCAGGTCCGGGCCTGGAGAGGAATACTGATTACTGCTACGTGCGTTTCCACAGGCAAGACAGTATTGAGCCTGTTGCAAAGTTTCAAGTACATTTATTTCTACCAGCAGCTGTAATGGATCATTGGTCATGGGCTATTTCTAGACTTGGTGCAAAGGGAGAAAATAATTCCAACTTATTTATGCAGAATTCCTTAAAAGATTGCCAGTGTTGCAAAAGCAGACCAATAGACATGTGACTACTTCATACTTTTGTGTCAGAGGCACCCATGCACCTGTGGTCCAGATGGTCCTGGCTTATTTTCTTATGATTTACCTCTCCTCCCAGAAGCCCGTACTCAGCTAGACAGCCATGCAAATGCTCCCCAAACTTCCTTACTGAGAACAGTAATGCTATAGTTTGGACCTGGAATATTCTTCTATGGCCCACGTGTTAAGGATGTGGGCTCTAGTGTTATAAGGAGGTGGAAGAACTCTTTTTCCTTTTTTTTTTGGTGCCAGGGATTGAACTCAGGACCTAGTTTACAAGGCAGGCGGCAGCACCACTGAACTAAATACCCAGCCCCGGAAGAACTCTTAAGAGGTGGGGCTTAGTGGGAGGCCTGTAGGTCATCGAGGATGTGCCCTGAAATGGGACTGTGCCATCCTGATCTCTTTTCTCATGTCTTTATTCTCTGGCTGGCTATGAGGTGAATGGGTTCACTCAGCCACACTCCACCTGTGCTGCCTCACCACAGGCCCAGAAGCAACAGGGCTAGTCAATCATGGACTTGAGCTATGGGGCAAAATAGCCCTTCATGACTTAATTTTCTCAGGTATTTTGTTACAGTGACAGAAAGCTGACTAAATATGTAGTTACCATGAAAAAAGAAGTCCGTGAAGTTCTGTCTCCCTACTCCCCTACTTTTCCTTTCTATTTCCGCTCATCTGTTTTTGAACTCCTCTATATTCAGCGCTCATACAGGGCCCTTTTTTAGTGCTTCATTTCCCATTTTTTCGTATCTTGTCACTTAGCTTGCAGCCTCTTTTGAGCCTGCTGTTCCCATTTGGCCTATGAACCATGACTTGGCCCTTCCCTTGCCTTCCCTGTGCTATTTCTTCCAGTCACTCTGCTTTTGCTGTGTGGTTGGGGGATTTTTCATACATCCGAGGCTCCTCTGGCCTAGGGAGGGCACAGTTGCCCAACTTTCTGGCTTGTCTGGGCTGCACTGAGTGAAGAGAACTTGCCTTGGGCCAACATACATCAATGAAAAAATTTCACTTAAAATATTTTTATTATAACATGTCTAGTATTAGTGATCTTGCACATATCGTTATAACTATTATCATGAGCAAAAAAAATAGATACATTTCTGCACTAAACCACAGCTGCTAAAAACTATTTTAGTGAAATAACATAAGAACCACAAGTTTATGAATTAAATAAGAAAACTTACATGCGTGTTTCATAACAGTGAACACCTATCTTTGCAGACACACACACATACGTAGGCTGAAATTCTGCTGTTTGTAATTGCTGTGTTTAACTTGCCTAGAACATCTGATGCACACGGGTTTCAGGGACTGACTGTGTGAGATGGTGAGGGGAGAGATGGAGTTAGCCACCCCTGCCCTCTGCTGCACAGTGTTCTATTGTTGCTTAGTCCGGATTTCAGCACCCTGCAATGGAATCATGAGAAATATCACTAATGGGCCGGGGATTTAGCTCAGCGGTTTGGTGGCCTGTCTTGCAAGTGCAAAGACCCGAGTTCAATCCCTGGTACCAAAAAAGAAACAAACAAACAAGCAAACAAAAAAAAAAAACCCAGAGAAATATCACTAAAAATCACATAATAATGTTCAGTTCACAAATCTTTTCTCCAGGCTCAACTGTGGCTTGGAGGCCAACAATTAGGCTAGCTAGGGCATCCTCTTCTAGACTTATTTATTCCTTCTTGTCTTTTTTCATTGCTTTGTTTTTGCTGTACTGGGAATTGAATCTAGGGCCTTCACGCTGACCTTTATCCCCAGTCCTTTTTAAAATTTGTTTGAGATAGGGTGGGGCTACTAAATTGGCCAGGCTGGGCTCAAACTTGCAGTCCCACTGCCTCAGCCTACCAGAGTGCTGGGATTATAGTCATGAGCTACCGTATCTAGCTTGATTATATCATCTTGATTATAGGGTCCATATTCTCATACCTCTGCATGGCTGCAGTGGTTGAGCTTGATCATCAGCTTGGTTGGCTTGGGAGCCACATAGGGGATTAGGAAAGCACACTTCCTGGTGTGTCCTGGTGGGTCATGGAGGTGTGACCTTGAGACTGCATCTGTTTCCAGTCCCTTCCTCTCTGCGCTTTTCCACTGTGTTCTGCTCCCTGAAGAGAGCAGCTTGTTCCACCATACCTCCTGTCATGATATTGTGTCATGGATCCAGCTGATGATGGACTGAAACTTCTGAAACTGTGACCTAAGTAAACCATTTCCTCCTTAAGGTGTATGTCAGGTGTTTTGTCCCAGCAATGAGAAGCTGACCAATATAGCCACTCTTTTTAGACTCTACATTGTTTTTCTTCTTCACAATCTTCATCTCCATCTGTCTACTCTGTTCATCATCTCCTTTCTAATGTTCCACAGTGGAGATTTGGATTCACTTCTCCCTCAACTCAGTCGGTATGAGAGCCTTTCCTTTTTCAGTTTACCACACAGTAGAGGTTAGACAGTATCAGTGTCAATCTCCAAAGTAGAGGCCGCTTTTGAACTCTCGGTAGTGAGGTCAGTGGGCCCAATTTCCAAAGGTTTTGAGAGTTATTTGTGTGATTTTATCAGTTCACTGAGAAATTGGCTTGCTCTGTCTAGGAAATGGAGGCATCCAGTAACTGGGTGATGGTAGTGTGTTCTCAGAGAATACCATATGAACCTTGCCTTGGAAGCTCTTTTGACTCTTAGGTTGATTGAGATTTAGTAACTAACCCTGTGTAGAGTCCCTCTTATGATAAAATGTTTTGAACTCCCAAATTAGGGCACATGAATAAACAGAAGGACTTGAAAAGAATCTAGGATGTTGTATTATCTATCGACATGTAACAAATTATCACGAATGTGGCTTAAAGTAACAATCATTGATTATCTCATACTGCTTTGGCGGGGGGGTCAGGAATCTGGGAGTGTTTGTAGGTAGCATTGGCTGAGGGACTTTCCGGGGGTTGCGTTCATGATGTTGGCTGGGGCTGCACTTATCTGAAGCCCTGACTTTTATGTTTCCAGAGAGACTCACAGTCATGACTGGAGGCAGAAGCACCACATGGGTCTCTCCACAGGGCTGCTTGAGTGGTCTCACAACATGGCAGCTGGCTTTCCCCAGAGCAAGTGATCCAGAACAGCACGGTAGAAGCCATAATGTCTTTCATGTCCTAGTCTTGGCAGTCTTACCATATCACTTTTATAACATCCTACTGGTTACACAAGTTAGTGTTATTTATTGCAGAAGGGAACTGCCCAGGGACAGGATAGGGATCACTGGAGAACATCTAGGAGTCTGGCTGCCATGAAAGTGTAGACTCACTTATTCTGCATCGACCTGCCCTCAGTTTCCATCCAACCTTAGAAACAATGGGCACATTATGTCCTTATGGTTCTTGGATCAGAAAGCAAAAAGCTTCCCAGCTATCATTATAGTTGAAAACAAACTGGAAGATTAATTCATTCTTTTGTTCTTTTTAAAATTCAATCTTACTGTTTTCCAATGTGTGTTTTCCAGAGAATCAGTCCTGTGATGTGCTGTACCAAAAACTATTTTGCAGCCAAACTCAGAGATTCACAATTTTTATGGCCTGATTAGTAGCTCTGAGAATTCTTGCAATAGAGATACCTTTTTCACTTTAGTTAACTGAGCATTTCTCAAACTTATTTGTGTGCATTTAAGACATTTTTTCATGCCTAACAATATCTGCCAAACTCAGTACTCTTTAAAATAAACATTTGGAACCACTGGTTTGCATAGATGTCCTTAAATGATATTATTCAGAATGTGTTGAAGATGGTTGTAATATTAAAAACACATCGAACCTATATGGAACCATAGAATTGATGCCCACAAGACTGAAGGCCTTGAAGGCCCCGTTTTTACACAGTGCCGAAGTCAGCCCATAAAACTATTTGCTGGGGAACCCTCCATCGACCATCACCTTTCCTGTGCTCTAAGAGCATGCACTTTGATGATTCTCTACCCCCGTGTGAAGTTTGTATTGAAAACTGGCCCTCAAAGTCTTTCAAAGAGCATTAACCTTCTTCCCTCAGAAGGAGAAGATTTCCTCCACCTACACATAAACTCCAAGAAGCACTGCTCTGCTGAGATTAAGCATCTCTTAGCTGGTATATTTTATGGCTGAATTGTTTGTCTTGGTATGTAAGCCTCTGGGGCATAACCATTTCTTCTTATGAGTGTGGTATAGCACTCAGCACACTGTCAGCCCTCAACCCAAAATAAATCATCATAATAATAGTCATAAACATAAATCAAGGGAGCACAATTCAACTTATTTATAGCTT